AAACCATTTCGAGTTGCAGTCCCGACTGATCCGTATTGAGAACATTGTCAGGCTTGAACTTTGGCAACATATTTTGAACAGTCGAAACGAAGTTATCCGCAGAACGATTAATATCATCCACGTTTTCTGTCTCTTTTTTTGTTACCAGTTTCGTGACGTGGCGAGAACATATTCCGTGACGGTGTTTAAAACGGAGGAGCCAGTGATCACTTGCACAGAATGTCGGATCATTGAGTTCGCGTGCTTTTTTCAATGCCTGCCTCTTTAGATCAATATCGTGGATGAACAACAAGCTTTCCCGTGAATTTTTGAAGAACTCGTACGTTGCATCATCAATTTCGTCCAGTTTGTGCTTTTTCGTCCCTCCTGTTTCAAGATAGTTTCGAAAACGGTTGATGTAACTTCTATTGGCCACGCGTCGGAACTTATTATGAAAATTTTGCCATGAATGACTTTTTTTTCCAGTTTGAGGGTTAGTTTCGTCGTAGTAATTGAGAGCATTTTTCATATATTGAAGAGAAAACTCGTTTAATAAGCTTTGATCTTCCATTTCCTCGTCATTATCACCATAGTCTTCGTCTTCTGCCTCATTCTCCTGCTCATCAGTTTCTTCGTCAAAGTGGTAATCGAAATCTAGTGTGTTTTCGCTTTCGAAACTGTAGTGAGAGCAGTTAAGGATCGATTCAAGGCTGTGGAAGAGGTGTTTGGCGACGTCCTCATCTCGTTGTGTATGTGAATAGGTCTGTTGGCTAATTGGTATATGCTTTCGAATGAAATTCGATAGAAGGAGAGTTACGTTATGAGGGTTGATCATTTCGATATTCCTCTTGTGAGTTTTTTGTGAAGTTATTGTCAAAGGAGATAGAGAAAACCAGGGAACATGGCCTTTCTTCTCGTTGCGCGCAGTCCTTTCGTATGAGGAGAGGGGAGGCGGTTCTCAAAGAGGAAACGAAGTTAAAAGCTGAAACTTGTGGAATATATAGTAGGCTAGGTCGACTCTTGCCTGTAAAAGTTTCAAGAGAAAACGTTAACAACTGACTGAGTTACGAATTTTTCAATATATTGGATTCTTGGCTGGATGGAGAAGAAAATGTTGAATAACTTTTGAAGGAACGCGATTGCGCACGAACGCTCTTAGGCTTTTTCATACCTCCATGTGGCCTATCGATCGGCATATGAACGAACAAAATCGGAAAGTATCACCTGGGAATGTTCCCTCGTTAGCCTTTTCATTTAGCTCTGCTAGCGACCAATTGATTTCAAAGACTTGTCTACCATGGTCCGAAGAGAAAGCAGGAAAGCCACCTTAGTTGAACAGATTCTTCCAGAACTTGACCATTAACATTTAATTTGTTTAAGTGAATATCATCTTCGGTAAGAAAAAAGTGCTTTGTTTTTGTCAAACAATCATCAGATAACTCAAAAACTAGGCAGTATCCTTTTCCGAAAAATAGTCTATCTTAAAGTCCGAGTCGACTACTTTACATTCGTTACACATGGGAGAAAGGGTGCCTTTTAATTAAGGCTACTTTAATTAGTTAACTTGTGAGAAAATCAGGAAAATTTCTAATGTATTTTTTTTGCTTTCGTTGAAAAGAAAAATCTTCATAATGCGGTAAAACTGATTATTTGATTTTAAAACAGATATATAAATACATATATATGTGTAACTGATATTTATAAATAGAAAAAATACAGTTCAGCTTTAAATTGTGTCAGATTGTGTAACTGATTATAAAAGATGAAAATATGTTCTATTTTGTACATAGAATTTTATTTGTACATCCTCTCATTTTTATTACACAGCATTTTCACGAAGAGTCAAGAGAAGTGAAAATGTTACTGAAAAAAAGAAATAAACGATGTTCTATTCGTATTATCTGTTTGAAATGTAACGCAAACACAGATCCTTGATTGTTTTATTGATCTTGACTAAATTGTTCATAGTCCCATGTTGACCCATCTTCGTTAATACTCAATGTCCATGAATTCGTTTTTCTATAGTATTGGTTGCCTTTCTTGGCGTTTCCTTGCTCAATCTCACTCGATTCAAATTTTTTGCCATAATCGTCACTAATGTTTGGAAAAAAATAAACGATATTATCTGTTTCGCTGTAATTGATATCTGTTGCTTGAAAAAAATCAAAACTATACATGGCCGTTCCGAACCAAGAGAGAAGTGATCACTCTTACTAAATGTCGAGGAAATTGGCGTTGTGCCAGTTGATAAACATGCCATTTGAACACCTAATTGCTGTCGATATTTCTAACATTTGTCCGATTTTGATTTCCTATCCTCGAGCGACTTGCATTTATTGTTTGCAATAATAAAAGATTCAAGCAGATAAATATCAGATGAACTCATTTTTGTGTCATTACCCATAACATCATCCAGGTTTCACGCATTCATAATACATGCTAAATTTAATTCATGACAAAAATCCAACATTTGTGATTGTCGTTCTCGTGTTACACGGTAATCGAAGCCGGCATCATCCCAAAATATTCCTTTTGCACCCATCGATTTCCAACCGTGAACAGCGTGTTTCATTTCTTCAACAGTCAGATTCTCCGTCGATGCACCCAAATCAACATAACCGAATACTTGTTTGTCCAAAGCAGAAAGCTGATGAATTATTTTTTGAGTGGTTTGATGGTCATCATGTGTCGATTTCCGGAGACCATTACCGAAAACAATCAGATCGAATTTCTTGAAATTGTTACTGGCCAATGTTAAATTACTTTGGCTCGCTATGGAGATGTTTTTGTCGCAAGAAATAACAATAGAACAGAGCAAAAAATAAAAACATGATTGAGGGAGGGTAGACGCTTTGTGCAGTCATCTCTCATTCCCCAAATAAGGCTAAAAAACATTCAACAGCAAAATAAAAACAGAGAGGTTGAAACACTAGCAGTAACACTAATCCTGTGTTTGAAAATTCTAAAGTTCTTTTAAAGTACGTCTGGTTTTTTCAACAGTGGTATCAGCTTAGGTATCTCTGAGGCCATAAGTATATTAGTACTCATAGAGGCTTTTAGAACTGTAGACTTTTAGAATTTTTGACTTTTGTTTTGAATTTAATCATTTTAAAGCGTAGAATTTTACAGTGCTAGAATGTGCACGTATAGATATACACAATACGACGGACTAAAAAGAAAAATGAACAAAGAAGATCTTTTTCATTCTTATGTATCCCTTGGAGAAATTTTAGTATATAAAACCATGTGTACACCAGGTGAATATCGTGAAATGAACTATGATCGCACATGAACCACAGATAAGAGAAGGTACAGAGTTTGTCCGAGATCTTTTTAGTTATGAAAAAGTTATACTGATAGATGACTGAGTATGCCCTTTACATTTTTACTCCTTTTACTACTTTAGTTATAAAGTGAGAGTGAGTGTAATAGTTCTGATATACGTTAAACAGAAAAGTAAAGGGAGTAAAGTAATAAAAGACTAAAAGGAGAAAAAGACTAAAGGTTGACTAAAGGCAGTAAAATACCTAAGGGGCTAAAAGTGTGACAGATATAAAAGTACGAAAGGATAATAAGACTAATAAGCTAAAATGAGAGCTGTAGCCAGGACAAACTTTGTACCATCTCCCAGCCTCACATGAACATCGTAAAATGGTGTCTGACAACGCGTAAAAAAATATATTCCATTTGTGACCACACGTGAACTGTTCACGGACACTTTTCACGTCATATTTTTCGCACGTGGTTACTAGCGAAAGTCGTAAAATGGTGTGTGGTTACATGTGGAAAGAAGTTCTCACTTGTACATGCGTGTGATACTATAGAAAGTTTACACGTGACCACACATTTGATGTTGCAGCTGTACGACACCAACGCCATGAAACTTCGACAAATTTCCTCATGGGATTTGTCTGTAGAAATAATCGTCAAATTTGCGTAGGTGCCATTTAAACAGCAGTTGAATAGAGAATATACATGGGTTGTTGAGGATACGCAATTGATCATTTTATTGATTAAATCACGCGAAGCAAAAAGTACAATAAGCTTCAGACAGTAATATTTATAATATATATCTACAGATTCTAAAAAACTATTGTCATGTGGTGTCACGCCAGAACAAAATTTATCAGGTATATTTATTTGCTATAGATTTGACAATCTCATCTCCCTTATAGCTGACAGTCAGACAATCATAAATTGAATTTCTCATATGGTGAGATGAGGTGCATGACCAAAGAAACACAGGCTGCCTTGGATGAGTGGAAAGAAGTGGTAGAATCAAGGGAGAAAAAAAAAGAAAGAGGATCATCGGATAGATGGACAGGAAGACGATTTGGAGTTGCGACTCGTGCTGGATACTGTTCCGTTTTCACGTTTTTGATCCATGTGAACAAACGTAGTGCAATACACTTCTTGTTAATTGTAATTATACTGTTTTTACTGATATAAGTTTATATGCCTGCCCATTCAGTATTGTAGCTTAGTTTTAGCTCATCTTTGCGAGCATATAGCGAAACAGATGGGAAACCATTCCGATCATATTTTTGGTGCCAAAATGTACTTGCTGCTGCACCAAAACTTCAAAAATGTTATTTTTTAAGTGACACATTATAAATTCGTAAAATTTTTCCGCTCTGTTGCGTCGCGATCATGCGAATGCAAAACAACTTGTAGGCTGCTTAATCAAACGTATTGGAAGCATGATATTAAATTTTTTTCTAGATGATTGAACCATGCTCGTTTTAGTTTTAAAGAAAGGAGCAAACAGTGACTTATTGGATCCCAAAAGAATTTTAGTAGCTCACAGCACAGTGACAAACGAACTTAAAAAACAATAGAGTATATGTGAGAGAAATAACTTCTCTTCTCAGAAATGACGTTCTAAATCAACCGGCAGGAAAACAACTTTACCACTATAGTTTTGAACGGTTCTGAAAGAAAACCCTGAAGTAACCTAACAATAGAACCGACTGTCGCCATCGGCATCGTCAAGTCGTATTCCGATCTTTTGTGGCAAAACCTAATTTCTGTCATTGGGTTTAGACTCAAGTTCAGCTAAAGTCTTCTACTGCCTTTATGGTTGTCAAAGATTCAAATAACAAGTTGTACTGAACTAAAGGCAACTTGTTCAACCAATAAGATACTTGCGCTGGCAAGCAGAGCAGAGTTGGAACCGGTTTAATTTTTCCTAACCGGACCGGACCGGCCGGTTTAATGCTTAGTTAACCGGTAATAAACCGGCAAAAAACCAGTCGGTTCAGTTTTGGAGTTCAACCGGTAAAAAACCGATCGACTCCATAGCAAATTAAAGTCCGGATTTTGTGAATAGCCGATTTTTTGCAGAAAGCTAAGCTTGTGTATTTTCAAAATCTTCCTGTTATGGTTATTTCAGTAATAACGTGAGGTACTGAGCACGAAGTTCAACCCAATATGAAACAAAGAAAAATTCACGGACTAATTTCTGATGGTGTATGAAACTCAGTAGGAAAAACAGTATAGATTAATCACGTTTTAATGGAGAAAAAACCCTTTTTTTTTGGACTAATATTTCCTGAAGAAGGAAACTTTTTCGGACGAATGTTTTCGAAATGTGAAAGAAAACCTGTGTTCATCTATATTCGAAATTCGCCAGTGATAGGACAAATGTAAAATGAATTAATAGATCATTTTTGGATCTACTGCCTTTTTTCAACCTCCCTTGGGCGATTCCAGTTGACATCTCGAACTTTTGTTATACAGTAGTCATCTTTCGCTTGTGATTCGAAACCGACAGCAACCGGTCGGTTGAAGTGTAGTTAAACTTTTAGAAAAAACAGTGTTAACCGGCCGGTTGAAAAGTTTAACCGGGCCGGTAACCGGTCAACCGGCCGGTCCGGTACCGGTTGTCGAATGTCAATAAACGGATCAAAACTCGAAATCAATATATTGAAGAATTGTGGTTTGGTTGCTCCGTCGGTGATTACGCTGACATCAAAATCGACAAGGTCGATCGAACGAATACGGATCCAAAGATACTGCCAGCGATTGTTCTTGAAAAACGTGATGACAAAAAATCAAAGTCGCATGTATGTTGGGTGTCATCAATCAATCGTCGCCATGGGAATCAGTAGTGGAACTTTCAGCTATACCTGAACAACTAGTTCAGTTGAACAAAGCTCATTTGAAGGAAATATCGGTTATAACTGCCTCCAAACTGTTTGTTCGTGATGCAGTCAATGGAAGTACTGATAGGAGTATAACTTTCAAACATGATTTTTGCAATCGAATTCAGAGTAGTGTGTATTCATTCCGAGATTCGCCGTACTTATCTTTCAGGCTGACAATGGACTAGTCCAATCTTATATTCGCCTGACTATTCCAGTCCAATCTTAGGCTGGACGTATGTTCTATGCTTTATCCGAGAATGGCCTGAATAAATGTCTGTCCAATGTCGGATGCAATATTCGCCTAGGCCAATCTGAGATTGAACGTAATCTCAGTTTGGACGCTGCCATATATATGCTGTCATTTTCAGCAAAAACGAATAAGAAAAAAAAGTGAAAAAAAATCATCGCAATATGGCAGATTTGAACAATCAATTGATGAATCTGAGGCACTTCCAGCACAGATAGTTTAGACAACTAAACTATATCATTGGTCTTAGTGTGTGGAGCCAGACGATCACTTCTCAGTGTGTACTTTACGCACTTACACCGTGCATTCTAGACGGTCACTGGGAATCGACTTGGCGTTCACTTTATGTGTGTTATTTACACACTTTATTTTTTACAGTGGGTCCTCCGATTTTCTCTATCGAATGGCGATCAGATGGAATGCATCGTGTAGAATGTTTAGCAGGGCTTTGGACTAACAATTTTATCCTTGTTATTTTTAATACAACAAATAAGAATAAAGATGTATGCACTCGGACTAACTATTCATATATTCTGTGATTCTAAGCAGAGCCAGTTTCCGCTAAACTCTGAGCAAACAACATAGTAACTATATATTATAACAGCAGGATCCTTTCAAATACAATCGTTCAATAAACTAACAGTTCATAGTTGTGAGCGGAATGAGACATTTCACACGCCGCATGTATTATCTGGTCATAAATTACATTGATGAACTTAGACAAAAGTGGGGATAGAACGCTATACTATTGATAAAAACAAGTTTATTTTAATGGTAATGTTGGAAGAAAAGCTTGTATGTCTTCAATAATATTTCGGTGTTTAGCATCATCAACTAACTGTTTCCAGCCTTCATGTAGCTGACTAAATTGTGTAAAATTTCCAAATATGTAAAGAGCATATTTACTTCTAGTTAGCATTACATTTAAACGTTTCATATCATTTAGAAATCCTATTGCATTTTGAGCCATATTACTTCGAACGCACGATATCAATACAATATCCTTTTCCTTTCCTTGAAACCCATCTACTGTTCCAACTTCAATATATGGAGATAAACATTCTTTCAAACGTCTCACTTGAGCCCGATAAGGTGTTATGACAGCTATTCGTTTACAAATATCAATAACAATTGGATTTGAGCCATCTATTGTGGGTGGTTGCAGAATATCATCTAACGAATTTGAAGATGTTGAAACGTTGCTAATTAGTTCATAATCTAATTCAGTGACAACATTGTCTTGTTCATCATCCTGAGTACGTAAGGAATAAAAATAAGACACTAACTGTGTAGAAAAATGACGAATAATATCTTCTTCAGTTAAATTAAATGCCGATGAGGCATCATCGTAAGTGTGTTTACTCAAAGTTATATTATAATAATAGAGTGGCTTTAGTGGAAAATGTTCATAATTTTGTTGAATGCTAGGATCCGTCAACAAACGATTATTATAGAATAATTGACTTGGAAATCGACAAATATCTTCATACATTCGATATTGTGTTTCTAACATTGTGATGGGTAGTTTATTAATTGGTTCAGTTGAAAAAAATCGTTCATATAATCGTGTGTATAATGATTGTGACAAGTTATATTCTTTGCCAGCATCTGACAAAACTGTTGGTGGTAATTGTAACCTAAAACATACAAATATAACATGAAATATAATTGAATACTTTAGATGAAGAAAATTTACTTACGGATCGCCAACCAGTAAAATTTTTGCACAACCAAATCGAAATGGTAATAATGAATCAGCTTCTAAACTTTGTGTTGCTAAAATTAGAGATAATTTAATTAAAAATAAGCAGCATGGGTGTCAAAACAACCTTCATCAATGATAACAAATGCAACTTTTCCATTTAGTTGATGTAATCGTGCGCTAGCACAATAATTCAACGTTGAAATAATCACTTTGGCACGTTTTATAATATAATTTTCAGCTTTTCTAACTTCATTAGTAGTCACATATCCTCTACTTTTTATCATATCTACAACTTCACACATAACCATGAAATCAAAAAAATGATCACATAAACGATGGTCATCTGGAGGCTGAGAGGCAACACGAATAACAGAACCTAAATCATAAAACATTTTCAAGCTCTCTTTTTTCTGCTTCCAGTCTTTTCTATACTGACCAGCATCATAGTCTATATTTTGTTCAACAAATTGATCTAATATACGTCTCATTAGTTCATCACATGCATTGTTCGACGGTGCACAAACTAAGATTTTCTGTTTGGATCGTAATTTAGGTAATATTTTAAGAATAATGCCAGCAATAGTTTTACTTTTTCCTGTACCTAATCATTTAAAATTAATATTTAAAGTCATAATTTAAGAAATCGATAAGACAAAGACAGATCGAAAAAATCTGGGAAACCTACTACATGGATACATTTCAAAATATAATGCACTCCATTGTTCTTTCAATAACTTTTGACGGAAAATAGCTAGAGAGCTACGGTTTTCAGTTTTAGAGAGTAGAATCTGGGGGCTATCTACATTGTGGGAAAATAAATTTAGAAATATCACCTGCAGGCCTTAAGCCTCTTCAAAACTTTTGGCAGAAAATTCGGCAAGTCCCAGGTTTCCATCTATTATGGTCCGGGAGTCACAGACATTCTGCGCAGACCATGCTATCTCCAAATTTGGAGATTTGAGAATCTCAAAAATACTTCAGACACAGGTAATCAGCTATGCTGACCATCGTGACATTGTTTATTTTCATCTTCAGATCGAAGTAACTTCAACTGATCAGTTTTTTCAAAAACTCCGACTTTTCTCTGTAGCCATGTAAACTTCAAATTCCCATAACTCACTCAGTTTTCGTCAAAAATGACTGTAACCATCAGAAAATATTCAGCATTAATCAAGATTATGGGCCATGAGAAAAACTTGCGTGTGATCCACTAAAGGACCATCGGATTTTCAGAGATCTCCGGAAAATCCTCTGGACTAAACATTTGTATACGGGATTTGCTGATCACTTCGCTAGATTGTCCCAGTAAAACTACACAATTGCTGAAAATTTCGCTCACTTCAGATGAGAAATGAATGAGTTATGGGAATTTGAAGTTTACAGGGCTACAGGCAAAAACCGGAGTTTCTGAAAAAACTGATCAGCTGAAGTTACTTCGATCTGAACATGAGAATAAATAATGTCACGATGATCAGCATAGCTGATTACCTGTGTCTGAAGTGTTTTTGAGATTCCCAAATCTCCAGATTTGGAGATAGCATGGTCTTTTCTTTCTTTTTTATTGTGGTAACATACCATGGTACATAAAAAGGTTCAGACAGAAGAATGACTTGTAACAGAAAAAATAAACATGTAATTCAAAGTTTCTGCCTATCACGACCAACAACTAAAAATAGCAAAAATGGAGCGAGAGAAATGGTTTTCACACTAATTTATGAGGCAAGATGAGTGCATTACATATAAGTTGTACTTTACGCTGTCACACTATTGTTTCTCAGCTAACTTACACTCATCTTGCTTACAAATGATGAAACACAAAGATTTGAGAACGCCTAAACATGAAGATGTCCTTTTCAAGCCTTTTTAAAGGTTTTGAGAGAACTGATGAAAACGACTTTTTCTAGATCTTTAGCATTCCACTCTTTTGCAGTCCTCTAAAAAAAGGATGACTGGAGAGTTTCGAAAGGAGTGAAGGGTACGTCGACCGTATAAGACTGCGCTGCTCGAAGAGACCTAGAAGTCAATTTAGCAAGATAATCCTGAGATTCGAGAAGAGTCAGGCTGTTGTAAATTTTGTAAAATGATATGAGTCGAAAGTACTGGCGTCTGACACTGAGATCGGGCAAACCTAGTTTATTGACTAGAGATAGACTATCAGTTTCGTAATTGAAGTTTCTGTAATAATGCGACCTGCTAAGCGTTGAACCGCTTCTAATGGTTCGAGATGTGTGGCGAATTTAGAATCGTAAAGAGCACTACAGTAATCGATTTTGGGTAAAACGCAAGTAAGATATAAAACTAAGCGAATTGACTGAGGTGTTTCTCCGAAAACTCGATTAATAGCAGCGAGCATTTTCCGACAAGATGTTGCTACTTCGCGAATATGTGTTACCCATTTCATATCGTGAGAAAGACGTATACCCAAAAGTTTAGGATCGGTATCAAGCAAGAGCTTCAAGTTTAATAGAGTTAACTTAAAATTGGGTTTTATTTTAGAATCAAGTGAAAAATAAGTGTATGAACATTTGTCAACGTTTAGTGACATATGATTTTTTTCACACCAGTCTGTTACCCTGTCTATTTGAGCTTGAACTAAATTCTGAATAACAGAACTGTTTTCCGATTTTTTGAACGATAAAACCACAAATAGATATGCACCGGGTCGAGCTACTCGAAATTCGAGCTACCCGAAATTCGAGCTACCCGAAATTCGAGCTACCCGAAATTCGAGCTACCCGAAATTCGAGCTACTCGAAATTCGAGCTACCCGAAATTCGAGCTACTCGAAATTCGAGCTACCCGAAATTCGAGCTACTCGAAATTCGAGCTACCCGAAATTCGAGCTACTCGAAACTTCGCCGATCAAGTTTTTGAAAAAATTATTTTAGAGTAGAACTGAAGGAGCATATCACTAGATGCAGTTTTTGGCGCTGATTACGAATCTCACATTATTATTTTTTAAAAGTAAAATATGTATAAATGTGCCTTCATCACGAACAATCGTATGGTACAACTTTTATTGGAA